TAACTAAGAGCCCATGGATAACCATGGATAGAAAGGGTGCTAATACCTTCCCTTTCTATAATCTACTCCCCGAACCCAAGAAAACATCTCAAAGGTTTTTGCTGTGCTTTTTAACCTTTCCTTAGGATAAAATAAAAAGTCGGTGGCGACTCTTGCTCAACCGAAACATTTGCGAAAACAAACGCAAAACCTCAAGTCAGTTCTCCCACTGTATCACAATGGGCATTCTTCAGAAATTTCAACAAAGCTTGCATGTACTTCGGAGCATAATAACAAAGACATCATGGATATTTTTGAGGGTGTCTGTCCCAGTTATTCAACTATTTTGTAATCACTTTTTCGAATGATCTTCAGAATTTCTTCCATCTCTTGTTGATAAAGGTCTTCAATTGTAGCATCTTTTGTGGGTGCCACGTGGAATGGGAAGGTAATGTAACACTTGGAATGGCACATGAGGAGTCATAATTGGTGGATGGAGAGCATAACCAATTCCCTAAAAATCAGAAACTAGGGCGTGGCAAGAGAGAGAAAAGTGTAGCTGGAGAATAACTGAATCAATCGATGGCTAGTGGATATATAGGTGGTTAGTAGAATATAGTGGAGATGTTGAATGATGAATCAATATTCTTCTCCTCTAATTATTTTCTCCTTACTCTGATTTCTTTATGCATTGTAACTATTTGTGAGATTTCCTCACAGAAATCTATAATTACTTCCATCAGTAAAACTCTATTTGCTTGTGTACTACTATTCCATTGCTTTTACTCATTACATATTTCTTTCAATGTTTTATTTGATGGTTGAAGTAACTTATGGGCTTCTATTTGTGTGGTTTGAAATGTACAAAGACTTTTCTTGGTTAGAAATTAGTTCTTCTATGTGAAAAATAAATTACAATTTATGTTTTTGTGAAATTATATGAATGAGTTTTTACATTGATGGTTTATGTGGATTATGGGTAGAAGTTTGAGGTTGCTTTATAATTGTGCAAAAATTGTACAATTTTTTGATAATGACAATGATATGTAGGTTTATGTTAAAAACCTTGGTTGGAAATATAATGATGTTTGAAAAAAAATTGGAAAGTTGGAGGCTATGGTGCAAGTCAAAATATGTACAAAGGATTTTCAAGTTAGAATGTGTGTTCAAAGGTGGAAAATATGTACAGAAAAAATGATTTTTTTAAGGGTTTTCACGTGTGTGTGTTGGTGAATAATGAGAAAAATTGTGTGAAAAAATTTGTGAATGGAAATTAGTGTGTGTACCATGTGAGGAGATTTGTGAATAAAAATTGACCCCTGAAATATTTACAGTGTGATTGTATAGTAAAAGTATGAATGAATTCGCTCCCCCTCCCTTCAAATGGCTAGAACTTCTCTCTGTTTATAGATGAGAAACTAAATCTAAAAGCTTTAAAAAGTGCATAAAAACTAAATTGGTCATAATCAATTAAATAATTAAAAACCCAAAAGCAAATTTGGATTTTTAACTAATTAAATTAATTATTTCCTAAAAAATATGACTTGTCCCCCAAGTTGTGAAAAGTGATAAAAATAGAAGAAATAGAAATTAAAACCATCTTTTTATAATTTTTGGGATAAAATAGAGTTAGAAATAAATAAATAAAAATATATCAAAAGTGAAAAATGTGAGATTCAAACTCATGACCTCGTACTTGTTGGCCTAACTCCTTAACAATTGTACCAATTTATTTATTCGTAATAAAATAGAAATAGAAAATATATGAAGGTAAGTGCCCGGATAAAATTGGGGTATGACAGAATCCTAATTGGACGTTATCAATCTTGTTTCTAGATGGCATCCAATAAAAATGCTTATGTGTAATTAATGTGTGTAAGCATAGAAGAAAATTAAAGATGATGAGAAATTTTTTTTTGTATATTTTTGGTTTCCATGTTTTGAAATGATGTGTGTGTAAGTGTGCGCGCGCATGTGCGTGCGTGTGTGAAATTTAAATAGTATGTGTCGACCTGAAAATTTTATGAGTCGACACATACTGTTTTAATTTTGAAATTTTTCAAAACTCTCTAATCTATTTTTTTTGTTATTTCTTTCACACACACACAAACACACACACACATATATAAATAAAGCATATTAGAAATTTTTACAATTTTTCAAAATTAAAATAGTATGCGTCGACCTGAAATTTCTATGTGTCGACACATAGTAGAAATTTTACTTCTATGTTTCGACCTGAAGGTCTTATGTGTCAACTTGAAATGGACAGAAACTACTAGTTTTGAAAATGTACAACATGTTTCGACTTATAGCTCGTATGTGTCGACTTATAGAAGTATTTTTAGTTTTATGTATCGACCTATAACACATATGTGTCGACACATACTTAACTTAATATAATTTTCCAAAATTGTTTCGGCATGTGTCGACCTGAAATACGAATGTGTAGACTTATAGAAAAAAAATACAGTCTACGTGTCAACCTGAATCATGCATGTGTCGACCTGAAAGTTCCATAATACTTCCTTTTGCAAAACAGATATCATGTGTCAACCTATGCATATATGTGTCGACATGTACAATGAATTTTCACACAAACACTCGATTTTTAACTTGTAAAACATCTCTAACATGATTTTAAATTTTATAATATGTAAATGCACATCTACATAAGAGACTAAGGTCCAATGTACAAATACTAACGAGTTCTGACATCATTCAAAAACATCTAAAAAGATAGTGCACTCACACTTGTTGCACAACTACAATAATGAATCTTTACCCTACAATTCAGAACACGATTCAAATCTCACTTATTGCAGTTTATGTTTATATTTCTTTATCAGTGTAAACTAAATGATTTATCCTTTTGGTTTTCTTAATAACCGAAAGATAAAATAATTAGATTTTACTATAAAAGCACTCGTTAAACAAATTTTATCTTAAACTCAATTTATATGTAGCTGCTCCAAAATCTATTCTTGAACAAAATATTTTTTTTCTGCCTTGCAATCTATCTCAAGTGCAGAAAAAACATCTTCCAATGTTGTTGTTATATTTTTGGAATAAACTTCCAATGTTGGGTTGCAAGTGTAGAAAAAGCATCTTCCAATGTTTAGAACAAATAACTTATTTGAAGTTAGATGTATCCAAATCATTGAGCTTAAAAAGAATGCATACAAAATATGGATTACAACAACGATTTATTATTTTGAATAACAACAACGATGATAAATTTGGATTTTATTGTAATAAATATATTTTAATATTCTATATAAACGATATAAATTTAAAGAAAAGGATATTCACCTCGACTTTCTATTGAAACTGAGAGGTAAAGATATTTTATCTCGGTTTTTATCAAAACCGATGGAATATTTTAACGTGATTATTGAGGATATAAATCACTGTCCTTAAACAAATCTTTGTCATCTATTTCATAATTATCAATACTCAAGACACTATTATTAGTGATCCGCGTGAAACATAAAAAAAGCTTCCATTATAAAAGCGTTTTGAATATCAAGAAGCATTATGAAGCGCTTGAAACTATCTACATTTACCACTTTAAGGCTTGCAAGAGTATTTTCCAAGAAGAATTCTCTATGATGGATTGCAAGAGCATAAAATTATTTGGTTTTAAATCTTTTATTTATGTAACTCTTTTTTTGGTTATATCGAAAACAAATGCTAGGAAAAGCAATTGAAAATATAGTGGCGCTCAACATTTGATCTTGCCCCGAAATCAAGGATTTGGAGATCCAACATATGATCTTCATAGACAAATTAATTTTTATTTTATTATTCTATATAAACAATATAATATTTTGGATACAAATTATAGTTTGTAAATAGATTATTTTATTAATATTTCGTATAAACAATGTAATAAATTATAAAAAAAAATATCTATCTTAAGCCTCAATTTTATTAATAAATCGAGGGGTGTGATCCACTAATTTTGAAAATAATAAAAGCGCAAAGGCAAGGGTTCAAATCCCTGTGTAGATAAGTTTATCATCATCGATTTTTACAACACCGGGATATAAAGTGACAACTTTTTATGATAGATAATTTTTCTAGAGGTTTAATTCTTTGTTGTAATTCAACCTCTGATCATGATGTGGTGCATAGAAATTTGAGATTTTGGAGTCAGAAGAAATAAATGGTTGCCTTTAACATTTGAAAAAGAAACTTCTGATTTGAGGATTATAGGAGATGCCCTTGAGGCTTTTTATATCTTAAAAATAAAAAAAAAACTGAAATTGAAGAACAAAGGAAGAGATTCTACTAAGGATATTATCAATTTGGGTTTCAAGTTAATGTTGTCTCATACAATATTAGAGGAAGGGGAAACCTAGCCAAACAACAAGTTGTGAGAAATTTAATCTACAAAGGGAAATTGGATATTTGCTTACTCCAAGAAATGAAAAATATAAAAAAATGGAGGAGTTAATGGTTATGTCCTTTTGGAGAAACAAAGAGGTCAGATGGAGTGCTATGAATTTACCAAAGACATAGAGACAAAAGTATAAATATTAATGTCAAAATATCATTTCTAAAAGAAATAGCCAATCCCAATCCAAGAAACATAGAGAAAAGAAAAGAAATAATGTAGTCCTGTTTTGTTCTGTGAGATTCACAATTAATATTTTTAGATAACAATAATTAATCTGGTTAAATCAAATTTAATAATAATAAATTTGTAATTAAAACACTATACCACCTTAAATTCAGAGGATTCTCTACCGTTATGAAGGAAAAGATAGAGTGATTTTAAACAAAAATATGAATAAATCAAATGAGACATGATATTTATTTTAAAAGAAAAAAGATCAAATTAGTCGTACTAAGTTTTTTTCTTACTAACCGTTGACGTTTCCAAACAAAAAAACCGCACGTGTCTTGTAGATTTATATTTTTCTCTTCCCGTGTCAAATTGTTTCTGTTTCTTTCTTTGCTCTGTGTGACTTTCCACATACTCTTCTCTTCTCTTCACCTTCCTCTCCTCAAACACAATGGGCCGAAAACCCAAAACTTCCAAGATCAATGACACGCTTCGCTCTCTCTTGGTACACAAATCTCTTTTTCTCTTCCTATATTCATTCTCATTTTCTAACTCTAGCTTTTTCTTCTGTTTTGAATACAGTATATGATATATAACTCTCAACCTTTATCACCGTTTTTCTATTATTATTACGTTTTCGTTAACAGTGTTTCTCTTTTGGCGTTTGTATCATCGATCATGTTTAGGGTTTTTCTGATTCTGGAATGCATGGATGAATGTTAGAGGAAATATCAAAGCTTTCATTCTGTGATTACATGCATGAATCAATGTGTTGTTAACTTTGGAAACCTTGCCTTTTTTTAATCTACTTTTTGGAACATTTTTCTCTTTTCAAGGTATTGTGTGTTTACTTCATGGTTCTTGTTGAAAGTCCCATTCTCTATTGAGATATGACTTGAAAATCGGTTTATAGTTCGGTGCAATGAATTGCACTTTACGAGTAGGTTATACAACTATGGTTATGCCTGATATAAAAACCTAAAATGACATGCGAGTTTATCTAAGATCCGTTTGACATTCGGCCGTCGCGTGAGATGATTTGTTAGGTTACATGTTGTATGAGATAAGGTGTGAAAATAACTATAAGCGATCGAACAAACTCAACTTATAGAATCATATTTGTTTTCTTACTATTGTCCTTTTCTCTTTCCACAGTCTGAAAATGCACATCCTTCTGCAAAATTTGCACAAGGTTCTAGTGAAAACATAAATCAAACAAAGGAATTACATTCTCAACGTATGAGTTCTCCACCAATGCATCTGAATCAATCAGTGGCCGATGTGGAGGTAAATCTTGTGAGAACAGCGCCACATGGACAAGTCAACCAGGTAGGTAAACATCGAAAGAAGTATGCTACACTCTCAAGAAAAAGGTTCAAAAACCACGGTGCTTCTGTGAGGCGGTCAGAACGCATTAAAAGCGGGGTTGCCAAGTCTCCCAACCCAAATCAAGGTGCTGAATGCATTGTAGACGTAACTGTTAGCGACAGTGACGTAGATGAACTAGAAACTCAAGCTGAGCAAGTGTTACCACGGCCAAAGTCAACAGTTACTCAAATTGAGCTAGTGCAAGTATTGCCACCGCAAAATACTCAAGTTGAGCGTGTTTTACCGCAGCCAAATGCTCAAACTGAACAAGCATTGCCAGAGTCTCAGCCTCCTGAAAATTTAAGTGAAAAAGGCTTGGATGAAAAAGTTGAATTTGCCTTACATGAAATAAAAGCTTTGTATAAGATCATAGAGTTGTTGAAATCCAAGGTATATATTCCCAAACTCAAGACAACATGCTATTGGTATTTTCTTGTTATACGCGTGATGTCTCATTGGTGTATGTATATGTATGTTCTAAACACATTACAGGTCGATGGAAATGTGAACTTATGTGAAGCCCCGTCAACAGCATCTATCAGTTACCGGTCTATGTACATTGATTCACAGAAGAAGGTTGTTTTTAAAAAAAAAAATTATTTAAGAAAAAGTCCTAATGCCATTTTTAAGCCTACTGTTTTTGGTCTGATTATCCCATATTTCCTATATGTCGTGTACTCACACGTACATATATATATGCAGCTTGAAGCTTTATCAAAGGAAAATCAACAACTAAAAGGAGAACTGGAAAATGCTCTAGGAAAAGTTGAAATGGTATGGTGTGTTATTTATATTTTGGTTCTGTTGCATCGTTGTTGTTATTGTGTAATGCCTTTTACTTGCAATCTCTTGGTCCTAGAAGCATTTGAAAGAGTCGTCATTTTGTGCTTCTTTCGTTGATTGCTTCATACATTAGTTATAAAATATGTTTTTGGTCTTGTTTTGTTAATGGTGTAGCATCTGATATTGTGGATTAGTTGCATTGATATTAATAAAACTGTATCTGTGAATTATATATCCTAGTTGACTTGATGTATCTGACTACATCTCCTTTGCTATTGTAGTGTGAAAAAGAGAATGGTGTTTTAAGTGAACTATTGGACAAAATGAAGGATACTGTTAATCAACAGCTTTCAAATGTGGCAAAAACCACTGAAGCTGCAGTTTTTGCATCGACTCAAGAAATCGACAATGCGTATTCAGCTTCTGCAGCTAAAAGAAAGAGAAATGAAAGCTGATGAAGAAAGAATTGATGCATAACGTTTTATTTGTATCATGTTACAAACTTGTCTTGATCTAGAATTTGTCCCCAACTTTTTAGACTTTTTTTTTGTATGGATTTCTGTTATTTTAACATGTTTTTTGAATCTGTTTGTGGTTCTAATGTTCCTCTCATTTGTTTGTGGTTCCAATGTTCCTCCCATTTTTCATTTCTCAATTCTAGAATACGAACGAGCTATGATGCTTTGACATGTTCCTCTCATTGCTCTTTTGCCACCTCCTTTTAGCCTATTTTGGATCTTTGGCATATTGTTTTTCTCACGTGCCTTGGATCTTTGCCACCTCAATGCTGTTGAAATCAGTCATATCAGCTATTCCCGTCTATTCCTTTCTTATGCTTTTTTTTTGGGTGGTAGAGTGGAATAAAAATTTGAGGGTTTTTAATGAACTCTACTAGGTAAATATGTGTGGAAAAAATTAGTGTATGGGAAATATGTAACATATGGAAGCAAGAAATGACTTGTTATTCGACAATAAGTTTTCAGTAGAGTAAGTTTTTGAATCAATACAGAGAAATTCGTGGAATTGGTTTAATATAACAATTATACAGCTACTCTAAAAGCATGCATGTTAACAAAGATTAGCACATTATTAGGAAGATAACAAGATCATTATTTTCTGCTGTAATACAAGGAATATTTGCAGCATCGTTACAGGGAGTATCATGATGGTGCTTTTATAATTCTGGTTTAAAGGTTCATCAAGTTAAGCAGAGAACTTGCAGAGCTGGTTCACAACACATGGTCGTCGTCGTCATCATCTTCTTCTTCACCCCCCGTCTCTTCTTCCTCAATTGTTGTTGTAGGCGATGAAAAGTCCAAGCACATTCCTTGAATAACTTGCTCATATGACTCAGAGAGATCTTCTGATGTATGTTGATGATACTCCACCAGCTGGTGAAGGCATTGGTTTTCTCTCATCAGATTTGCATTTTCATTTGCCAGTCTTGCCTTCTCACCAAGAAGTGCTTCCAGCTGAAGCCTCACCTATATACACCATCATACATACACACAACATTACTTTCATAACTCAACCACATACATAACTAGCTCAGAACAATTTTGAATTGATTCCTTACCAGATCATCTTCCTCAGGCCTAGCTCCTTTCGCAAATCCATCACGCAGTCTTCTGTTCTCTTCTTCAAGCAAACCACATCTCTCTTGCATAAAACATAAATCTGATTTAAGACACTTCAACTCCCTTGCAAGTGAGCTTGCTTTGCTAGCCATTGAAACTGCAAGCTATAAATTGTAACAAAATTTTCAGAAACTTTGGTAAACCACACTACAAACTAGTAGTAACTGATAAGAGAGAAGATAAAAGAACCAACATTTTTTGCTTTCTTGATATGCTTATCATGCATCTTCTGTCCATTTTCTGTTTGTGACTCTGTAACATTTTCTTCATAGAATTCATCAATTTTCCTTTTCACTCCTTTCTTTGACTCATCTTTCTCTTCTGAATCCTCTTTCTTTTCTAACTCAACAATTTTGCTTCGGAACATATCAGTTAATGTAGGTGGTTTCCCCAATTCTCTGGTACTCTGGTATAAAACAAACAAAAAAATAATTAATTAATTAATTAATTAGATCATATCATATATAACATAACATTAATTAATTGATAGTTAAAATTATTATTAACTATACCTGTAATGCATTATCCAAATTATTAGACAAAAGAGAGAGTGTATGAGAAACTGAGTCAAACCCTCTTATCAGTAACATAGAATCTTCCTTCAATCTGTTTCTATTTCCTGGTTCATTCTGTAACAAAATAAAAATAAAATCAAATTCAATGACCTAATTATTTGATTTTACATTTATGTTTCCGAAGTTGTGTAACTAATTACCAAATGATGTGAATCTGAAATTTTGGGATGAGGATTATCGAGAAGTGAATCCATTCTACTACGAAGAGTGCTCCAGAATCGTTTATCAGAAGATGGACTGAATTGAGGAGAAGAAGAAGAACTAACAATGTTTGTATCATCCTGAAAACAACGTTAAGTTAACAACAACACTTGAGAAAGAAACAAGACATAACAAATAGCGGTTTTTGGGTTCAAACCTGTTTCATGTGAAGAAGAAGAGGAGGAGGAGAAGAACGTGTGTCGATTGAGGTCGCCATAGACAGTGTTTGAGAGTTGAGAGTGTTTGAGTGTGGAAGGTAAGGGTTGAATAACGGCTAGTTTTGAAAAGTGAGTTTGCATTGAAGTGAAGCGTCGAGATTTATTTAAATAGAATAAATGTAATGTAACGTTCGGATATATTAAATAGTCTAAGGGTTATAGCTTTCAATGCGAGCGCCTAATTATATTATCACGTATTTATAATTTGATTTAATTGAAATATACGACGTTGTAAAATAGTGTTACACCGTCTCTAAATTACAATAGTTGAATTGTTTAAAAAATTTGATAATGTAAAAATATTTACGCATGATTAAACTCTTTATAATTTATACTATAATTATTTAAAGAATTTAATAAATAATTACACAACTTAAATTAATCTAAAAAAATAAGGATCTGAGAACTTTAAAACACATCTTATGTCTTTACCACTAAGCTAATGTATATTCGTGTGAATAACTCTCATGCTTTCTAGAAATATTAAATAATTTTAAATTTAAAATAAAAAAGTATAAAATTTAAATTCGTTCAAGTTAAATCATAGTTATTTTTCAACTATACAAGTCAATTTCTATTGTTAATATTTCTAATGATAAATACTTAACTTAATAATTCTGAACAAATATTTACTTATTTCAATAACACACAAATAAATATTTACTAATTTCAAATAATACACAATTTAAAAATAAATTTTTTTGAAGCGAAAGATAAATTTTAAAAATAAAATTTGTGTTATTTAATTTCAATTAAATATTATTTAATTTATTTCTATTTGACTAATTGTATTGAGGATTTATATTTTATTAATTTTATTTTTAAATTTGTGTATTATTTGAATTAAGTAAAGATTTATTTGTGTGTTATTTGAAATAAGTAAATGTTTATTCTCAATTATTAAGTTAAGTATTCATCATTAGAAATATTAATAAGAATTGATATAGTTGTGAAGTAACTACCATTTAATTTGAAGAGAGTTGAGTTCGTGACTCCATGCGTACAAATTTTGTATTTTTTGTTTTAAATTTAGAATTGTTTAATATTACTATAAATCATGAGAGTTATATGTCACAAATGTACATTGGCATAGTGGTAAGAGCATAACATGTGATTTAAAGATTTTGGATTCAATTCTTGATTAGAAACAATATTCAATCACAGTTTAAAAGTAAGAAAAAAGTCGATTTAAAAAAATATTGATATAATGATTAATATAATCCGGTTAAATTTTGTAAGGGATTAAATCAGATCCTTTTTTATATAAGGGACTAATTTGGATTGTGTAACTTTTGTGAGGGACCAAAATGGGTCTTCACTCTAGATAATATTGTGATTTGGTAACACTTTATAGTTTTCTTTATATCTTGATATTCGATCTTGCAACCGACTAATTTAAGAGGATCAATCTCATCGTCTATTAGTGGGGGTTTCGTTTAAAGTGAGGGCACAATTTTGTATGTTCTGACCCAACAGAAGAATTGTTAGCACTAGCAGGATTCAAACTCGAGACCTTGAAAGGTGCACAATCTCAAGATCTAAGCTTTCACCACTAGGCTAAGCCTTAGGGGTTACATTTGTCGATGTTCCTTGAAGAACAAGATAGCAAAGTCGATTTTAGAGAAGGTTGGGGTGGCGATGAATAAAGAGCAAACACTAATGTACAAAATAATTTTGTGAACGTATTCCATGAAACATGTAATAACTTAAACGAGGAAAATGCAGGAATATGCTTCAATGAAAAAAATGATTTTGTGTATAGTTGTAGGTTTGTATAGTTGTAGGTTTATTAGTTTAAACTTAAAATTATTTATTTGAATATACACAATGTCTCGTGCTGAAATTAGAATTATGATGTGATGGTTGTGAGTATACTATCCTTTTCGATGTTTGAATGATGTTAAAACTAGGACTTAGTATTTGTATATTGGATCTTAGTCTCTAATTTAGATGTGTGTTTTTATATTAGAAAACTTAAAATCATGTTAGAGATGTCTTACAAGTTAAGAATCAAGTTTTCATGGAAAAAACAAGTCTATGTGTTAACACATAAGGTTTTCAGGTTGACACATAAAAGCTTTTGTTCAGTATGTGTGTTAATTGAAAACTTTGACTATGCGAATGTTGAGCTGAAATGATACATCTTAGAAGAAATTTGGTTCGAAAAAGCAGTATGAAGGGGATCTTGTGAAGATTTCGATGAATGAAAAGCTAATAAGAGTTTCATTTTGCTAAGTGTTAGCGTAAGTTTTGTTTTATGAACCACTGGAACTTATTTATTCGAAGTATTATTAGAATAGATACTTCGACCGTCACGTCTATATTTGGAACTTCGAAGACAAGAAGGTTTTCAGATTTGAAATTTTGATCTTATCCAAAGAGACACGTGAAAGTCTGAAGAGATTCGAAGAACATGCAGTAATAAACGTGACATTATTTTAGTAATAGATCGTTAGGGTAGAATTAGTATAAATAGGGGGGTCTTAACAATATGATTCGTGTGTTCACATCTTTGTACAAATTACTCTAAATTACTCAAAATATCAGCGTTCAAGAAACGAGTTGTGAGAATGTACGTATGATGCACTAATTTTATGTTTATTACCATTCAACTATAATTTAAGTTTTAAACATTCCTTTTAAGTTTAAGTCGAAAGCCTTTTACATACCATTCTTTTCTGTAAAGAATTACATTACTACATTTGAAGTAGCAATTGAAATCAATATCGTTTAAAAGATTAAGAATGTTGTCGAAAGTATTCTTTGTTTTCAAGAACAAAAGTTTGAATAAGAGTACATGTCCTTAGGATCAATCTGGTCGATCCTGCAAGTCACCAATCTTTTCCTTGATTTAGAAGACCAGCGGTTGTTTACCAAATTTCAAGGTAAACAAATTGGCACGCCCAGTGGGACTCGTGTTCAATAAACAATTTTTTCTGTTCTAGTAAATTTTTTTGAAAATCTTCATCACCCTTTCGTTTTTTTTTTGTGTTGTATGAGACTTAGAAGTGGTAAATTAGCCACAAACAACAAGGAAATACCTAAAAGAAAGTATGTTATGAAAATGGAGAACCAAGGCCAGACAGGTAATCAGAACCCTCCTAACAATGATGAAGTACCACCCTTAGTCACTTCGATAGGTTGAACTATGATTTTTGCGCCCTTTTTAGAGGCATATACTGTCTTCAACAAGTTCGACATCAATACAGTCGAACACTTATACAGACCCTATTTTGACCTATATAGGACCACATGGTTCCCAAGGGACCCCTCCTCCAGGGGGAAATACTTTTCATAGGCCCCAGGGGTCACCTAGTTTTTCCATGCCTCAAAATGGTCGGGAGCGGTCTTCTGACATGTCATCTTCGTTTATGATGGATTTACATAATTCCACTTCAACATACTCAGATCTTGTGATGAACGTTACTTCGCCATTATAAGGTTATGGATCTGCTGTTAATAACAGGGGTTAAAATGTCCAACCACAAATCAAAAGAGTTTCTTCCCAAATGCCAAATTTAACAAATCAATTTGCATTAGTGATTAGACAACAAATGGACAAAAGTATCCATGAAATGGTCCAGATTCTTGAACAAACAATGGGTACAATCTTTAACCCTTTGATTCAAAACACTATTCAAGCGAACCAACAAATGGCTCCACAAATGACATGCATCGCTAATTTCTTTTGTATGCCTCGACCCCTAACACATCCTCAGAGGGAGTGAGTGAGGGAAAAATCAAGGGGTGATCTTAGAAGAGGAATCAACAATTAACCAAGATCAATGGAATCAAAGAAATTCACCCAAGGAGAATGTGGTAAATCAAGGAGGGATAGTCGAAGTTCCTAGAGTTATGAATGTTTAAATACCTAGAGTCGAACCTTTTAGGCTAGAGCCACAAATTTTAAGGCAACAAGAGCCTAGTTTTATGATGTGCTGTATCCCAAAATTTTCCCTCTCATTTTCTTCAAGACCTTCTTCTAAGATTCTCAAATACTCAAGGATTCTCAAGAGTTGACTGGTCAAACCTCCTCCTAAGCAAGGGTCCATAACTAGGGTTTTGGTTTTCTCAAGGTAAATTGGACTTCTAATGCCTCAAGTGGCTTTCATGGTTCATCACAGGTCTCCAAAAATGACCATACTAAGTTTCAAGTCTTGCACCGCAAATTTGCTCAGTCAATTGCTCAAATGACTGAAGATCAGCTATATTGGGTAAAAAGTCAATTGTGGTCAACATACAGTCAAACTTCAAGATTTTTGGTCAACATCAACATTTTGAAGTCATATTCATAATTTGATCAAGGATTGATCATAATTCCTCAAGAAAAGCCCTCAGATCACCAAAGGGGCAAAGTTGTCAAAATTAAGGTTTTGACTAATGACTTAAAGCATGATCTCAAGGGCTCAAATATAATATCTTGACTGATTACATGGTTCAAAACATTTCCAAATATTAAGTGATTGATAGTTGAAATTTGAATCAATTGATAAAAAGTCAACAAGCACACAAAAAGTCAAACTTTGCCTTTTTGGTCAACATTGAACTTCAAAGATCAAAGAATCATAAAAACATTCAAAAATATCAAATTTGATCATCAAGAATCAAGGAAAGTCAACAAAATTCAAAAGTTAGAAAATTTTCCAACACTTAGAAAAATTTCTAAGTGTTTTTGTTCTTAATAAATTCACTACTTCATGACCATTTTTCACTAAGATGCAAGATGATTCAAGGAAAACTTTCAACATGAAAGTTGTAGGGATTGATGAATTTGACAACTTTGTCCATGAGGGATGATCTTCAAAAAGTGCTTAATTTTAGAGATATAAGCCCATGAAGTTGTGACATTTTTATTTTACACTTAGAAAAAATTTCAACAAGTTGAGTCAGATTTTTATCCCAACTTCTTAGAAAATTTTCACCAAGTTCCAATTTAATTTAGACAAAATGGTCAACATTAAAGTTGTAGATAATGTTTCAAGCTTTCCAAAATATCAAA